GGCTCTAGCATCTGGTGGGGGTCATCCAATGGTGGAAGATGGAAGGTAGAAATAAGCACATGAGCTGACTTATCCTTTCATCAGGAGCCCACTCCTGAGATAACCAGCCCATTCCTGTAATAGCAGCATTAATTCATTCACCATGGCCTTAAAGGTCCCACCTCTTAATACTGTTAAACAATGGCAGTTAAATTTCAACACGAGTTTTGGTGGGAACATTCAGTCCATAGCATAGATGTTTTTCTAAGAGGGGGGAACAAATAAAAAATTGTTAATATTGAATTATGTGAAAACTTCAAACCACTTGGACATAACTATTGCACTATGCCAATACATTTTGCAGGTTCACGCTAAGTTTTATTTCCATAGAACTACCAGAGAGTTTTATCACTGAAGTTAAACAGCACCTCTATCCATAGACCTTTAGATAATCCATGCCCTCGGGAGGTCAGGCTAAATTTTGGGGGGGAGAAAATCTTTAAAACTTGACCTTAGCCAGGCTTACTCACAGCGAATAATCATGGATAGCATTCTAGACACATCAATTTTATCACTCTGACATGCCAACTCAAGTACCTTAAATTGGGAATTTCTGCTTTTAGAATGGAAGTTGTAGTGGTATCAGACCTCCTTGGCAATGGGTTCAGGCTGATCAAATTCCACTATTAACTGCAGAAACTCTCACTTGGGCCAACACTCTTAAATTGAGTGTGGGTGGGTAGGGGAGGGGGACTGAAGAATGCAGGTCATTCGCAAGATGTCAGGGTGAGTTATCTGCCCACAAAGGATGCCTTTTATGGAGAAATTGCATTGTTATTCCACAAGCTGCAGTTGCCTTGTTATCTCGGTCACACTTACAGGGAGCACATTCAGGAATGTTAGCACAAAAGGCACAGAGAGAAAAGTTCTGTCTGGTGGCCTGAAACTGATTCTGCTATTGAAGAGAGGGTAAGAGAGTGTAGCAAGGCCACACGATCTGGCATAACCTCCAAAAGCGTTAACTATGGAATCATAGTCAGTGACCAAGAATTCAGAAGGGACGTTGAATTTGCAGAACCATTTCTTTCAGGGAAAAAAAGCTGCCTATGGCTCTAGATTACTCAAATTGCCCTTAGCTCCCACTCAGTCCCCTGCCCCAAAAAGTCACTCTGGATGGTCATTTGCACCACGAAGGCTGCTGAAGACTTTTTCTAATAATGGGCCTTTAGTAACAGTGTGACAGAATTTTATGTGAATTTGCATTGTTCAGAGTGTAAGTAGTGTAACAAAGAGACCTCAATGAAATCACATTTTGAAGACAATTTGAAATAATGGGGATCTCCTCAAAATTTGAAAATATATATTGAAAATCTAATCCTCCTTTTGTTGGTATGGGTATACAGCACTGCTTCTGGCCTTCGTCAGCATGGCTGTGAGTGACCCTGGGGATCTCCGTGCCGTGATGTTAACATGCAACTTCATCATAATTTACAATCTTTTAAACATCTTATGTTATCTAGTCATTCATTAAGATATGGTACTAGACCTAGTACTGAGCTACTATATACCTGAAATTCAGGGATTTAAACTTACGATTAAAATGTCATGAATGAGGCAGGTGAGGGGACGACCACAATAAGCCACACTGACAAAAGAGAAGATAACACTCCGCAAAATATTGAAGTCATGCTGTGAAAATAAAAGGAAGGTCTTCAAAGGGACACCATTAAGGTTTGCAAAAACAGTTGGCATCAGGGACGTATATGCCGTGAGCCAACATGCTGTTTGGCTAGGGCATGAAGCCGTTGATGATTTGAAAGGGAAGTAAAGACAGTCCATCGCGTGATTGGTTCATCCAGCACCAGCCTGGGACTTCAGCTAAGGACAGAGAGACACTGGATATGAGCACATTGCAAAGAGAGCATGTGGGGGTTAGGCCAGGTTCGTCCCTTCCAGGCGTGGTAAGACACTTCTCAACACCCTACCCTGTCTACCTCCGGACCCCCCCTTCTATGGAAAGTACAGCAGGGAGGTAAGGGAGAACAGGGGTCGTCCCCTCAGCTGTGAGATCTCAGCCCAGAAGGGGGTGCCACGGTTCTTCCCTCCCTCTCTGAGTGGAAGATGAAGAAAATTTTCCCCAACCTCCACTCTAACGCCAAGTGAGAGGAGTTAGAAAGTCCCTCACAGACATGATGGGTGGCTGTAGGAAGTGAGTCTTTGATGTGTCCCTTGCTTGGACATCTGCTTAGGCAGAAAAGGAGGAAGAAGATGTAACCAGGTGGCTGGTTACACTGCCAAGGGCAAAAATGGGGAGAGTTAAGGTGGAAGGGGATCCCCCATACCAATCCCTCGGGGGGCTCCTGTTGTCCCGAGGACTTGCACGTGTGTTGCGCAAGAGACCCAAAACGCAGATGCTTGCGGTTGGGGGTGAAGGTCGACAGTCCCCGCTGGCCAGAGAAGCAGGAACAATTATTAAGAAAGGACAGTGATGGACAGATCACACCCCTAAACCCCTCCCATGACATTGTGGGTGGGTGGAGGTGGGGGATGAGGGGGAGGAAAGAATCTATGTCCCTCTTCCAACTCCAAGTTCTTAAGTGAAAGCCTGGCCTTGGCAAGGAGGTGGGATTGGAATTTCTAACTAGACCTTGCTGAGCTGTTTGGTTTATTTATTTTTTAATAAGAAAAGGGGACCAAGAAATTACCATACCTGCCCAAGGTGTTACAAAAGGGTCTGCTGCTCAGTGTAAAGAGATTTGGGAAGGCATGTTTAAGATTAATAATTGCAGAAAAATAAAATTGTTTCATGTCTATTATTCTATGGAATTAATATTGTTCAATAAACCAGTCACACAAGAGTTCATTGTGCTTAAAAATATGATTAAAACAAACCAAAAATGTTATCCTAGCTATAGATTTATGCATCTCTCTACTAATTTACATATTAAAAGTTCCTTTTGCATTGTAAGCATTTTGGATCTGAAAGGTCTTCAGGACTACGTACCTGGAATAGAATAGAATATTCTCTGCCTTAATATAGTCACCATAGGCAGAGTGTCCAGCAACTGGTCACAAGGATGTCTCCAGGGAATTACTGGAGTGTAAGTGTAGCTGACTGTTATGGTTAGTTTTTTTAAAAAGCGTCTAATTGGGGGCCGGCCCGGTGGCGCACTGGATAGTGCGCCGCTTGGGAAGCGCGGCGGCACT